GAAAGAGAGAGGAAGAAAGAGAGAGAGAGAAAGAAGAGAAAGAAGAGAGAGAAGAGAGAGAGAGAGAGAGAGAGAGAGAGAGAGAGAGAGAGAAAATGATTGGGGCGTAGTAGGAGTGGGTACGTATGTGTCTAGGTGTCTTTATATCCGTCTATATCTCTCTGTGTCGGTATACTCATACCTACAATACCAAAAAAAAAAATACTACAACATAATAAATTCAATAATTCCCCACCACGGATTCTCCTCCAGCTCGATACCCCAATACCCCGTCCCGCAAAATATAAAAGGAAAAAAAATACATATATATCCAGCGGAAGGAATTACAGCGCCCCAATAAATGTCCCCAATGGCCCCGCCGTCAGTTCCCTTGCCACATTACAGTCCTTCGGAGAATGTGAGGAAATTGCCTTTTTCGCCGGCGGTCTCCTCCCTGGCCCCCTCAGCACGCGATCGCCGCTGCAGACTGAGCTCGAGGCGGAGGCACACGCACATATATATACTGGCTGTGTGTGATATCATTAGCGCTGTGGATCACGGTGAAACGTCGGGAGTTTTCTCCGCTATTACAGGGCGGGTTCCTCGGCACAAATCGGAGGTGGTTGGAGAGGGGGTCATGAATAAAGGAGGGCGATGGGGGAGAAGGGAGGATAAGTGGAGGGAGGGAGAAGGAGGATGAGGTGGGAGGAGGGGAAGGGAGGATAACGTGGGAGGGAGGGGGAGAGGGAGGTGGGAAGGGGGTAGGTTGGAGGGGGAAGGGGGGATAAGGTGGGAGGATTAAGGGGTAAGGGAAGGGAAGGGGAAGGGAGGATAAGGGAGGGGGATTAGGTGGGAGGGGGGGTCAAGGGAGGATAAGGGGAGGAGGGAAGGGAAGATGGGTGGTTAGTGGGTGGGTGGAGGGAGAGGGGTAAGGGGATCGGGAGAGAGAAATGAGAAAGAGATAGACCAGAGAATGGAGAGATTGAGTTATAGTAATTATTGAGCAAGACAAAATTAATTTAAACATACAGACAATTATATACTCATAATGTATATGTATACAGATACCACATATTTTACTATTATACACATATATATTTACACACCACACACACACACAACACACAAAAATTATATATATATATATACATGAACAGATTCCGTCGAGCAATTGGAGGTTTATCACCCCTGATCCCCAAGGCTTGTTACGCCCAACGCGACGGAAATCCGTGGAAACCTGGACGGAAGCGTGGCTCGCCCGCAAAAGGTGCCCTTTGTATGTATATGTGATTGCCGTCTTTGTCTTGGGTTTTATGTCATTTTCCTCGTTCCAATTCTTCACTCTTTCTCTCCTCTCTCTCTCTCTCTCTCTCTCTTCTCTCTCTCTTCTCTCTCTTCTCTCTCTCTCTCTCTCTCTCTCTCTCATTCTCTCTCTTCTCTCTCTCCTCCTTTCTCCTTCTCAATCCTTCACTTACTTTCTCTTTCCATTTTTCGCCGTTCTACATGCTTCTTTCCTCTCTATCTTCTCTTCTCCTCTTCTTCCCTCTACGGGACGCTGCCTCTCGGTTCGCAGTAGGCTTGCCTCTTTGGCCAAGAGCAAGTTTATTCTTCAATTTTCCTGATTCTCGGCATTATTCCAACTAATTTCATACAATAATTATCGGCATCCAAAATTCCTATTTCCCAATAATTCTCGGCATTATTTTGTCACAAAACACCCGCGCATATCTGTCTCTGTGCCTGTGTGTTGGATACTTGGCTGGACGACGCGTGCAGGCGACCAGAACCGTCAGCCAGCATAGGCCGCCGCCACCAGCGCCGCTCGAGTTCCTTGGAAAGCAGCCGAAAAAGAAGCGTAAACAGCGGGAGCTGAGAGCGAACAAAGGCTATTGGAGGCAGTCATTGTCATATAAAATTGGTGATATGCATGTTCGGGAAATAGGCGTACACACACACACACACACACACACACACACACCCACACACCACACACACACACACAACCACCACACACACTTATATATATATATTATATATATATACTACAAAACAATATATATATATATATACGGCATAACACACACACACACACACAACAACACACACCACAACACACCACACACACACCAGATATATATATATATATTATATATTATTATATATATATATATATATATAATATGATATAGATTCAAACACACTGAGTTACATTTACACCTGTGGCATTCATCCATCTCGTGTCCCATGGCCCCCAAACGCAAGGCGACTTGCCTATTCGCACGCCAGAGTCAACGCGTCACGATTCGCTTCGCTGGTTCGGAGCCTTTGAAGCTAAGGGAAGGCGTTGATTCGGCTGCGCTATTCGCACCACCATAAAGCTGTATCGAATAGACAGTAAAGTGCCCACAACAGAGAGCAAAGAGAAGCCCGCGACCAAACAATACGAAATAAAATAAGCAACTACGGTCATTGTATAAAAGGAATGAATGAGGATGACACAGTGGAAGAGATGTATCTGACAGGTTTCGATTATATCTTCGTCAGAATACACCCCTTGCCCTGTGAAGATACCCACTCCATTCATACCATTTTCTACATTTGTCGCAACGAACACCGTTCATACACGACCAACAGAGAAAATGAGTCAAACATTTGCTCGCCTTGGGAATTTTCCTCCCTCCCTCTCTCTCTCCCTCTTCCTCTCCTCTCCCTCTCCTCCTCTCCGCTCTCCTCTTCTCCTCTCCTCCCTCTCGCTCTCTCTCCCTCCCTCTCCTCTCCCTCTCCCTCCTCTCTCTCCTCTCCCTCCCCTCTCTCTCAGCTTCATTCATAATATTCGAAGGACGCTACTCCAAGCTTCCGCGAACAGGTGAGGACTTTGCTCTCGTACTCACCGCAGATCCTAATCTATTCCTCGTCAAATTAGCACAGGTGTTCTGGCAGCGCCGACTACCAAAGCGGGGCCTCGATATCAGCTTACATCTACAATTCAAATTCAATAACTCATAACAGTAGGGAGAGAGGGAGACGGAATTTGTGGGAGGGGGAAATGGCAGAGGGATGAGAATGAGGGAGGGAGGGAGCAAGGGGAAAGTGGAGTAAGGGAGGGAGGGAATAAGGGAGGGGAGGATTAAAGGAGGTGGGAGGGAGAGAGGGAGGAAGGAGGGGAAAGGGAGAGAGGAAGAGAGAGGAGAGAAGGAAAAAAACGGTACGAGGGAGAGTTATGATTAAAGGATCTTAAGAAGAAAAGAAAAGAGAAAGAGAAATATAATAACGTATAAAGGTAACGAAAATGGTAAATGCAATTAAACACGACCCACCAATATAAAAATATGGACCATCAAAATGTAAAATATCCTCAAATTTACCCTACAGTCGACAAACACCAATAATTCTATAACAACGACGAAACAATCATAAACAACGACCTATACCCAAAACCTCTAATAGAAATCAGCATATTGAGACTTCTCCTTCCTCTCTACTTCTCCTCCTCTCCTCTCTCTCTCCTCTCCTCTTCCTCCCTTCCTTCTTCTCCCCCCCTTCTACTCCTCTCCTCTCCCTTATCCTCCCTTCCCCTCCTTCCTCTTCCTTCCTCCTTTCCTTCCTCCTTCCTTCCTCCTCCCGTCCCTGCCCTTCCTCCTCCTCCCTTCCCTTCCTCCTCCCTCCCTCCCTATCCCTCCTCCCTTCCTTCTCTTCTCTCCTCTTATCTCCTCCTCTCTCCAGCGCCCTCGATGGCCTACCATATTACCGCAGAAATGAGCGCTTTATGAGCCGTTAACGAGCTAAGTTTAGATAAGCAAGTTTTGCCTTCGCCCAGAACTTCAGATCACCACTAAACACGACACACACTATCCGGAAACAATCTATTTGAGGACGGCGAATTCGGGAGCATCAAGAGGGAAGGTACGGAAAATACATGCACGCAAATCTACATACATACATTTACTTGTGCAAAATCATCATTGCCATCCAATATCATTTTTCAAATACACACATTATGAATCAAAACATATACACACACGTTATATATACATACATACACACGCACACATTATCTATCTATTTATCTATATCTATATATCTATATATCTATATCTATATCTATATATATATATATATATTGTCAGTAATGTGTGTGTATGGGTTCATATGTATGCCTATGCACAAAGAAACAGAAAGAGAACGATAAAAAGAGCAGGCGAGAGAAAGGTGGGGAAGAGAGAAGAGAAGGGTGAGGAGAGAGAGAGGAGAGGAAGAGAGAGAGAGAGAAAAGAGAAAGAAGAGAAGAGAAGAGGGAGGTGAGAGAGAGAAAGAGAAGAGAAAGAGAGGCGAGAGAGAGAGAGAGAGAGGTGGAGACGGAGAGGAGAGGGGAGAGGAAGAAGAGAGCGAGTATGAGAGGGAGAAAGGGGAGAGGAGAGGAAGAGTGGTGAGGCATGGAAGGAGTGGGAAGATAGGGTGAGGAAGAGAAGGAAGACAGGAGAGAAAGAGAGAGAATGAGGGGGAAAATACGGAAAGATACAAGAAAGATAACGGTCGAGGGCAAAAAAAAAAAAAAAAAAAAAAAAAATGCGAATTACACCCCCCCTCCCTCCCTCCATCCATCCTACCCCCGACCACCGGCATACCTGCGGCGATTCCAAGAGCCACGAGGAATGCGTCGAGGCATCCGGCATTCGCGGCCGGGCCCAGGAAGACTTCTTCATTCACAGCATCTCGTCGCGGCTCGCCACGGTCAGCTGTAACAAAAGGCCCTCGCGACCGTGCGTGTTAGAGGCACGGCTGCACAGCACGCAGTCACGCATGCTAAAGTGCCCTTTCCCAACAACAAAAACACACGCCCACATCTGTAGCCTGGGGCGCGTACATGCCGGAACGTTCGAATCCATGTGATCACACACACACACGAACGCGCAAAGCACACGCGTGTTCTTGCTGGCTCATGGAAAAAACAAAAACAACAAACCATGCCAAAGCAATAATACCACAAAATAAACAATAAAATCAAAACGATCTCCAAATAC